CAGTGGCGGAAATCTCGGTTGGGGGGGGGGGGGCGGCCGCCTCCCTAACCTTCGTGAAAAATGACGAATTTTCGGAAATTTTGACCTATAAAAGGGCTAAAAACAGCCTTTTCGAGTGCAAATGGGGGGGTTTGTCGGAAATTTGAAAGTTTTGTCGGAAATTTAGAAGGCTTTGCTCCCCCACCGAAAGAAGTGAATTTCCGCCACTGTTCACAACAGGCTTGTAGCAAGCTTGTCAACAACTTGTACCAATGCTGTTATTTTATCAAGTTGCTAGAAGGTTGTCATTCAAAACTTGTTGACAAATTGTTGAATTGCAGGACGATAACAAGTTGTTGGAACAACTTGTAACAAACCTTGTAGCAATTGTCAACAAGCCATTGACAACATGCGACCAAGCGGTGCAAACACATCCTGCTGACAATTGTTGGAACAGCATTGCTACAAGTCTGCTGCAGGTATGTTACAACTTGTGCATTTTTACATGTGTAGTTTAGTATAGACAACAAGAAGGATGAATAGTTTGCTTACTTGTACGGATGCCTGGGATCTGTTCAAATAAAATACAGCTGACTGGAGTTTCTTATTGGCATCATTATAAACCTTTATTCTGTTTTCTATAGCATCTGATCTTAGCTCCAGGTTACTCACTCCTGAAACAAAGACAGTATGACAAAGGATTGAATTGATTAAATTTTTTTGCAGTTGGTGGGTCAAAGAGTATTAAGGGAGCATTCATTTTTTAGCTGGGGGGTGGGCCGGAGGAACTGATGTCTAATTCCATGCTAAAACTTGGAACCCCCAAGGGAAAAGTTGATAAAAAATTATTACCCCCTATTTTTTTACTGAAAATTTTTTTGACCCCTCATCCTAACTATTAATAATCAACACGGTGTCGTTTCCGTAGCGTTTCAGGGCCGTAGGAAGCTCTTTTTTATTGGGGGGCTGAAAGCGAGGGCCGAAGGCCCGAGGAAATTTTTAAATCTAGAGTCTCTGAAATGCCATTTCCTGGACTTTGGGGGAAGATTTGACAGAATTCTGATGGTCAGAAAACAGCGTTTTAGTATGTCGAAATTGACAATTTGGTAGTACTAAATGGGCGAACACGTATTTAATTAACTATATATTGGATGACTAGGATAAGTTGCAGGAAACTGTGGGTAATATCTTCATTCTTTACAGTTTGTCATGGATAATGTAGCTGCTTAAAATTAATAAAGCTTAAAATTGATAAAGGTCATGATGAAATGCATGCAGACCTTGAAACCATGCATGATTTTGAAAACATGCTACGATCCTGCGTTTTCTTTCATTCATGTTTTCACACAAAAACGGATAAAAACGAGGTCAATTGACAAACGTCATGGAAATGTTTTCCTATGGACTGTGTGAACAGAGCGTCAAATGAATTTTGCTTCATTGTTAAAGATGACGAGATAGTTGATAGTTTCTAGACCTTTTTACCATTCTTCATCCGAATATTTCCAAATTCTATAAAATTATATTGGTGACTTTTTCACTGATTATTTTTATGACCCCCTCCATTTATACCAAAACTATAAAAAGACCCACCCCTTTGAAGCATGTCAAAATTGGCTGACCCACCCCCAAATTCCTCCGGCCCACCCCCCAGCTAAAAAATGAATGCTCCCTAACCAGTTAAGTAGATTGAGATACTTACTTAATTGTCGATGGAAACCCCTAGGAATTTAAAATAGAAGTAAATAAGTGCATGTGGCTTGTTAAACGTGATTTACTGATCAGATTTAAATAATTCTCTGGTATGCATGTGAAATATATAAATCACCACAGGCGGCCCAGACGTGTATTAGTGTATAGTAAATATATCATTATAGAATATACTACACAGTAAAATTTGTAATGAATTTTATATTTTAAAATCATATTTACTTGCCTACTTTGATTGTATGTGATTTTCTTTTATTTCTGAGCGACTTTACATTCAATGCCTGCGACTGTCTTCATAGGTGATAGTATTGAAAGCAAAGGCTAACGATTCCAGTTCTCAAACAGCCGACACGAACAATTCAAATCGAAAGATATCCCCTTCAAATTGCTTTCTTCGCGGTAAAACTTCGCCAGCGTATAGAATAAACACCCATCTTCGAACATACAATGCAATATTAACACGTTCTATAATTTTTGCAATGGATTTTTAGCGAAATGTTTCGAGACTAAAATTCTATGGAACTTAGAAAGCCCGATAATTACTACGGCGCCTGCTTGGCCACCTAGCCTCCTTTACCGTTTGGATTTTCAGGGGGGGGGATCGAATAAAAAACACCTATTTCCGGCAACAGCCAGCCAATCAACGCCGCGATACCGACTGTTTACAATATTTGAAATCTGATATTGTAATTTATCAACAACAAAACTCTTTCGATCGTATATAGCAACAACAGGCAGCAAATCAATGCCCGAATGCCGCGATAGCGACGGTTTACTATATTTGAAATCTGATATTGTAATTTGCAAAAGCTCTCTTTCTATCTTATACTATACGATCGATCGATCCAAAGAGTTTTGTTGTTGATAAATTACAATATCAGATTTCAAATATTGTAAACAGTCGGTATCGCGGCGTTGATTGGCTGGCTTGTTGCCGGAAATAGGTGTTTTTATTCGATCCCCCCCCCTGAAAATCCAAACGGTAAAGGAGGCTAGGTGGCCAAGCAGGCGCCGTAGTAATTATCGGGCTTTCTAAGTTCCATAGAATTTTAGTCTCGAAACATTTCGCTAAAAATCCATTGCAAAAATTATAGGACGTGTTAATATTGCATTGTATGTTCGAAGATGGGTGTTTATTCTATACGCTGGCGACGTTTTACCGCGAAGAAAGCCATTTGAAAGGGGATATTTTTCGATTTGAATTGTTCGTGTCGGCTGTTTGAGAACTGGAATCGTTAGCCTTTGCTTTCAATACTATCACCTATGAAGACAGTCGCAGGCATCGAATGTAAAGTCGCTCAGAAATAAAAGACAATCACATACAATCAAAGTAGGCAAGTAAATATGATTTTAAAATATAAAATTCATTACAAATTTTACTGTGTAGTATATTCTATAATGATATATTTACTATACACTAATACACGTCTGGGCCGCCTGTGAAATCACAAGAACGAAAATTAAATGTACAGTACAATGAGTACATGACTATTAAACACGACTCACGAGTACATGTACTGACATATAAAAAATACTATTACAAAACAACTATATGCAACTTACGAGTCGTAATGAAATTTAACTCTTCGTTTCGTCTGTTCATCAGATGTGTCTGCCTTGCCACTTTCTGGCGAGACCGAAGTCATCGAACTCTGTGCTAGCTTATTCTCTGCTCCATCATTCGGTATGTTTTCACTTTCGCTTTCGTCACTCTCCGAGGCTTCTCCTTCAACTAAAATACCTTGCCTAGGAGCTGTTGTATCTTGCTTTACAACCATGGTGTTTTTCATGAAGTACGATTGATCTATTTCGTATTCTTCGTCTGATTCTGAAGCTTCTCCTGTCACAAAATTACCTCCGCGAGCCGCCATCTTGAATGTTGTGATGACGTCATGATGATGACGTCATAGTAGCCTGCACGCTGAAGCCATGAAATGGAGAATGGACTCTGCGAATCTGCGATAGTTTGCTTGTTCAGTATTTGCATTTTCCGACTAAAAAGTTGGGAGCATGGACCCTTGCACAAAACGTACTGGCATAACAACAGTACCAACCAATCTTAATCGGTAACTATAATATTTCGCCTACCTTATTTCGTATTGCTATCATTGGCTCCTAAAACTCCTTGCTATTCTTTGCTAATTCTTGCTTTTCTATTAAACTACTTCTTGTTGGTTCTTCCCATTCTTGAAGTTACATCTGTGTCGTTATCTAATCTTTCCTTTCTAACTCTGCGTTTCTTTCTCTACATAATAATCCAAAAACTCTAAACAAACTCAAACAAAATATGAATGAAACTCTAAATAAATATGAAACTCTATAATTTAAACATATCTTTAGTTAAACTAAATTTCATCATATATCTCGTTAATGTTTCTTATTGAATTCAGTTTATTTAGCACTTCACTCGACACTGGGGAAAGGCTAGTTCGGAGTTACGGCTGTGCATTTAACTGAGTCGGAATAAAATCTCTCAAAAGCATGGGCTTAATTCGTCAAAAGGATGCGCTTGACAATGAATCATAACACTGGCCGAAAGTAGCAATGTCTTAAAATAAGGGCCTTTCTGTCGGGTTTTTTTTGTTTTATCCAGACTCAGAAAGCGTCGTGATGCACAGTCGAAATGCCAAATTTGTCTATTAGCCAGATCTCCGACTTTCACTCCATTCTCAATCTCCACATTTCAGCGGCTGCTACCTTTCCTCAAACTTCACTTCAGTATTGACCTGACTCTCAATACTCGCTTCAATAACATCAAGACAAATATCAAACTGTTGGTCCAAGCCAATATATGAATCACTCATGAAGTATAGCGTATAAATCTTGTGTCCAACTTCCTCAGGAGTATAAAACGCAAGCGAGACTGTTGATCGACTCTTGATTGCACCAATACGCTTCAATGCCAATAGTTCACCATCATCAACTACACCCAACACCAACCACCAACCTGCATCCTTCGTTTTGGGAAACCGAGGAGCATAAGCTTTTGAGTCAATTCTCTAGAAATACAGCTTCAAGTAAATATTGATATACTTGCAATTTAGACGTGTTCTAGTTGTTAGAGAAATGCGCCTCACAGCTTTACAAAAAGCAGTATAATATACAGTAATCGTTGATGGGTTTTTGATAGATGGGTTTTTGATAGATGGGGTTTTGATAGATGATATTTCGAATGAAAGATTTATTTCCATCCACCAAAAACCCATCAAGTAGTTCAATGGACCAAGATATCCAAAAACTTGATATTTATAATATACAGTAAGACCATGATCATAAGTATTCAATGTTAAGCTCAAAATAGAAAGCAAGTCTATAGATTCATTCAACAACCAGACTAAAAGTTTTGAACCTTAATAGAACGATAATGTTTACAACTACATATTCAGTGCACAATATTTAAGTTGACTGTTATTTAATTTTGACTTATCCACCGTTTTAGCTAAACGGGCTTGATACAACCGGCCCCAGGTCAGAAAAAATTCTACAGTTTGCTACTCAGGCATTTACTGACCTTCTTTCCAGTCAAAACTCTGTTCAACTCTATCCTCACCACATATTCCTGATCTGCGTGGACTTGTACCCAGTTTTCTTGACCCACACGACCAGTGGTGACGTCAACACGTCTCTCTTGTTTCGTGGCATGTCCTTCCCAAACGCCCCGGATGAAGAGCTTAACTTCAACTGTGGGCAGCATAGAGAGCACGTGACTGATCTGAAAATAAATACAAATGTTAATTCACACGCTGACATGTGTCAGTTGAAGAAGACTACTCACAGACCTCACACACACATGGCAGATTATTACACAACACCAAGGGTGGGTTGACTACAAATTTTTTGTAGTTCGCTATAACTACAGCTACTTCAAAAATATGTAGTCAGCTACAACTACTGCTACTTTTGAACAAAGGTAGTTCGCTACTGACTACAGCTACTGCTTAAAAAATGTAGCGAACTATTTCGCTATTTCGCTACGCTATATTTTTTAGTTTACTGTATTTGCAGCATCTACTAACTCAGGCTGTAATGTATAACCTATAACAAATCGACTTATGAGTATAGCAACAGTAAACACAAAGCAACATTTTTGTAAGCACTACGTACACTTTTCGGGAGTGCAAATAATTGACTATTGAGGATTGATTTTAAGCAAACCGTGTCTCAATATCATGCTATTCTATCAAGTTGCTAACAATTTTAACAAGTAGCGAATAGTGATTTGCTGTTTGAAAAGTAGTCAACTACTTGGCTACTTTTAGGCAAAATGTAGTTCGCTATAACTACAGCTACTGTTTTGAAAAAGTAGTCAAAAACTACTGGCTACTTGAAAATTGTAGTTCGCTACAGTAGCGAACTGCAACTACTTCGCTACTATACCCACCCTTGCACAACACTGCAGCCTACAGTGAACCCCACGTTACTGACATGAGCCCTTGCTGTTTTATGTGAAACTTGTCAATGTTATTTTACTGGCGTCTTTTTACCTGGCCAATTTCTCCTGCAGATAACTTCCCATTTAGAATTCTCTGTAAATACTTTTCATCGCGCCTGACGACTTCGGCCAATTCTGGAAGCCCATCGATACATCTCGACGAGCCATCGGGTGCTCGGAATAACGGCAAGTGTGACTTTTCTATACCAGGTAGTGTTAATAAGGGACAATCATGGATCCAACGACCTTGGATAACCATCTGAACAAGTAACATGGTACGGAGAACAGTAGTTAACCATCCCTCGTCAGCTGAAACATCCACCATCGCCTAATAAAAAAACAACTTTCTAAGCAATATTACCCTACCTATCTAATATTACCCTACCTACCCAATATTACCCTACATACCCAATATTACCCTCCTACCCAATATTATGTACAAGCTTTCGTTGGTAGGGATGCAACTACCTGAAAAATATATAAGGACAATTTCGGCGTTTCGAGCGAAGGCCCTTCGTCTGGAGTTACTGACCATCGGTTCTGCTCATAACAATGTGAGGACACTCTAATGTAAACATTGCCCAAATTTCGAATGTTTCGAATTTTTCTGAACATAAACTCTATTTCATATTCATTTAGAAGCATAGCGAACCAAAATGGCGTTAGATATTCAGACAGTACATCATATTTTAAAAAAATACAGCAGTTCAAAATGTAAACAAACCGTTTGTTTACATACGGACTTGACTTCCACTTTAACCTACCATTGCAGTACAACTAAAAGCATTTGACAGCACAGCTTAATATTTGCAAAACGTCGAATGTTGATTACCTGTAAAATCCTGATAGCTTGGTCTAAAACAGACTTGGTATCAGTGTGGTAGTCACTACATGGTAATTGTAACATAGAAAAGTGAGCTTGGAACAGCAAGAATGTCTTCGTATGTGGACTGTCATACGTGTATGGATCCACTTCCAACGGTACTGACTTCGCCAAGTCACTGCAAAACAACATTGCGAACATAAGATTGTTTAGGATTAAAAAGACAACTGTTTCTCTCATGGCCGGATTTTGAGGGGAGGTGTGAGGAGGTGCGCACCTCCCTTGAAATCGTTTTGCACCTCTCCTGAGAATTTTTGCACCTTCCCTGAAAAATCATGCACCTCCCCTTGGGAAAGTTTCAATGATAGATGAAAGTGGAAATTTGACATTTTTGGTTGCTTAGGGTCTACACTTCGTAAGAAAGTTTTTCTGTAAAATTAATAGCCATTCATCTCTGTGTCAAGCACCCTTTTAATGTAATGTTTTGAAAGAAACTTTGTAGTAATTGTAATGAAGGGCAAAATTGGATGAGTTGTACAGTCATAATTCATTAATACACTGACACATATGTACACTACATGCATACGTCACGTCGTTGATTTCAGCCCGTTCTAAGCCCTAACTTTCCAGCTGCAAAAACCCTTCAACTGATAGTTCTATGGGGCGACCAAGTGATTCACTACTGCCTAATAGTATTAAAATACGGATTTTTTACATACGTGTTTATAGCATCCTCGTTATGCCTGACTGGCAGTTGTTCGTACTCCTCGACACGCTGAAAAAAAACGCCAGAGATTAAACATCGACGGAAAATAATGAGCACATGCATCTCTAAGCTATATTCCTCATTTGTATAGTGAATCATTTTTCAATTCAATACTCACGCTCAGTGTCTTCAAAAGTTCAGGTAATGTGGAATTTCCATGAAGCTGTTCTCGGAACAAGCGAAGTGAGAGATGACTGAGATAATAGTACGATGAAATACGTCCAAGAATTGTCGGAGTAATTGATTGACTTTCCTGGAATGAAATAATTTTGTTGAATTTTGAAAGAATAGGGGAATACTTACTACACACCATTTTGTTTATACTAATTTATTTTACTTATACTCCAGCTGGAATAGCTCTATTTCTACACAGTTTTCCCAACGGTTCTTATTAGGTGCGTTCCAAATTGGTCCAGAGTTACTACAGGAGGAAACTAAAAAACCTGCACTGCTTCGCAAAATGAAACAAGAAGCATTCTTCTCATATAAGACTGAGATAAAATTCTAATCAGAGAACAGCATATTTCAGAACGGAACTCCGTTAAAAAGATAAAAAGACCCAAACAATGGCCAGAATATAGCCTGCTTTTATATGGCTCTGATTCGAAATTGCGTTGCAAGTTACAGCAAAGATTGCCTGGGTTAACATGGCCTTAATTGAAAAGGTATCGATATAGTATGACATCTTAGAATTGCCGTTCCACTAACAATAAAAAATATACATAGACCCCTCTCACCTCATCAACTTCTAAACATGAAGATCTCTCGAGCTCACCAATACAGCCCTGAACCACAGTGGATAAATATTTATTAACATTCTCATGGTCAACACTGTCCAAGTCATAGTAACTGGGGTTCATCAAGAGACGTCTGAAGAAATACGTCCAGGTTATATAGTCCATCGCTTCTTGCTTTGATGTGATCGTTCCTGACACTACTTCTGCATTGATGTGATCTGATAGTACTGCTGGAAGACTGTGGAAAATATATCAACATAGTATTGGTATAGGTGCATGTAAAGCCTTGGGCAAACTAGGAAACATTGTTGCGGAAACATTGTGATTCGCCATGTTTTCTCAAGTGTTTCTGCGTTTGCCCACCCGTGGACACATCGTTGCAGAAACACAATTTGCTTCCCGAGAAGCACAAATGTTTCCTATCAAATTCAGAAACATTTCATGTTTCCCAAGTGCGATTTTTGTTGCGGAAACATTGTTTCCTAGTGTTTGCCCACCTTGGGAAACATGGCGAAACATTGGCAGGAAACAATGTTTCCTATAGTTTGCCCAAGGCTTAAGAAAGCTTCGGATGGATAGCTGGGATGCAACTACCTGAAAAATACAAGGAGAACTTCGACGTTTCGAGCGAAGGCCCTCGCTTTTATATTCACTTTTATAAAAGCTCATGCAGGGATGGATTTACTGGGCATCCCCCCTAGCCCTGGCCAGAGGGGGTGCAGGGGGGTGCTATTTTTCATGATAAACCAAAAAATTATTAGAGACAAAATGAGATACAGTAATTTGAGTAATAACATGATGATAAGCGAACTGTGAACAACAATTACAATTCAAATACAGTAGTCAAGCAAGACTTTGCAGTAGTCAAGCAAGTTGATGGGCAGGCGGCACACATAACCGACACAACTCGGCACCAGAGCACCCCTACCAGATCATGCTGGATCCATCCCTGAGCTCATGTAATTTTGGGACTTCGCTGAAAACATCGAAGTTCCCCTTGTATTTTGCAGGTAGTTGTATCCCTATCAATCCGAATTTTTCAGCTTGCCTGGAATGGATACATTTAGAGAAGCATCAGCAAAAAAGTGAGTGTAGTTTACCTCGACTCTACAGGGAATGGATCGTATAAAAACTTCTTATAAAACTGTTTCTTAATATCATGAACCAGTATCACAGCGACGCCTTGATCATCAAACTGAGGCCTGCCAGCTCGGCCCATCATCTGCAAGACATCTGTGACTGGGAAGTCTACGTATCGTCTTGTCTTGCCATCGTAATATTCAGTACCTTTGACTACGACCAAGTGAGCAGGGAAATTCACTCCCCAAGCTAACGTACTCGTGGCTATCAAGATCTAGAAATCGAAGAAACAATTACGATTTATAAACTTTTCCCCGGTCATGTAGAGGGCTATTAGGAAAAGATTCTTGGCGCATTAGTTAATGCATTACTACCTGAATTTTCTGATTTACAAACAATTCTTCAACGACTTTCCTGTCACGTTCGTGTAATCCCGCGTGATGTAATGCGATCCCGAATGGTAGGATGAAACGTAGATTCTCGTCTCGTACACCAGACACAAGATTGGCGATCTAAATATTAACAATGGCAGTGTTCAATATTCTGTAATTTGGGCCGGGGTAGTGCACATACCTGGATCAATAAGATATGATCCTTACTGGACCAGAACAGTTTAGAACTGATGGAACTATCCAGTAAAAATAAATTTAGTTAAGTTTAGGTTTCCTTCTGTAGTAACACTGGTTCAATAAGAGATGATCCTTACCGGACCTCTACGAAGAGCAGTTTAGAACTGATAGAGCTATCCAGTATAAATAAAGTTAGTTTAGTTTAGGTTTCCTCCTGTAGTAACACTGGATCAATAAGAGATGACCATTACTGACCTCTGGAGAGAACAGTTTGGAACTGATAAAGCTATCCAATATAAATAAAGTTAGTTTAGCAGACTACCTCCTCTTCAGGCATATGTAGCCACTGTTTGGGATCACTCTCGGCTGCTAGATATGCAATAAGTTCCAAGGCAGTCAGTCTTGTCTGTCGTCGGGATGAAACAAAGATCAGAGTGGGTTTATCAGGAGAATGGGTACGAATGGCAGCAAATGTTGGTTTGTTCATAGTTGCCATCCGCGGACAGTAATGCTTGCCAGGAAAACCGCTGATATGGACCTGTAGAGGAACGGGGCGCACTGATGGACGGAAGTTGAATAAGCCAACCTAAAGGAATAAAATAAATATACTTAAAAACTAATCATTTGGGTAAAAATTAATTTCCGAAAGTCCCAAGCAGGAATCAAACCCAAGGTCTCTGCCTTATCGTTCCAGCACAATGAGTACTGAGCTATTGGGATGGCCATCATTGAGACACTCCGAAACATTATGTGTATATACTCAACATGGGATATCTAAACTACGACGACCTTTACAGATATAATTATGAAGCGATGTAGCCTCACTCAATCAGGAATCGCAGTATTGCTCGTTGTGATGCGTTCAAATGAAATCGCAAATTTGCTCAAAAATTATTTCGATTCCCCCGGCAACAATAGATACGATTCCACTTGGACACCACTCTCAAGCATCGTATGCTAATCACCTGTTTAATTCCCAACCAGTCAGCAAGATCTCTAGCGTTCGCCAGTGCTGTAGACAAGCCCACAACCCTAACACCCTGCTCAGTATGCGAGGATATAAAGTTCGTTCTGGATACAATGACCTCCAGTACAGGTCCTCGTTCATCCCCCAACAGATGAATCTCATCGATCACCAAGAGAGCGACATCTTGAACGTAATTCCTCGTCTGCCAACTACGACTCACTCCATCCCATTTCTCAGGCGTCGTCACGATCACGTCAGCCTTGGAGATAGCGCGCATGTCTGGCGTGACGTCACCTGTCAATTCTACCACACTGGGAAGGAAAGAGGAAAGTTATCATAAATGTTTTCCAGACAAGCTGATGCAGATATATGATCATAATTTTACTTCTGTTGCATATAAGATTGCTTCAAGTTTGAAGCAAGTACCGCAGGGTTTTTCCAGGTACTCTATAGTTTCTTCTTGCTTCAACAACAAGAGATTGTTTTCATTGAATTTGTACGGACAACGGTTTAGAACTGATAGAATCTTGAACATTCTGTACCAGTGTTGGTAGTGGCAATAATAAGAAAGCTTGGGATGGATAGGGATACAACTACCTGAAAAATACAAGGAGAACTTCGACGTTTCGAGCGAAGGCCCTTCGTCAGCAAGTTAATAGATATATTCGTACAAGTAAACTTTAGTTGACGTTTTCTCATGCGGTAATACAGGATCAAGAAGGGATGGCCTTTAGGGCGAACATGAAATAATAATGGGCAACGTACTTCTTTTTTAATTTTTGTTCAAAACGGACCTTCCAATCTTCAATACGTTCTCGGACAAGAGCTTTGAGAGGAGCGATATATACTGCCTGGAAAATGAAAAATAATAGAAAAACATTTGAACAGCCTTTCCTTTGCGCAAGCCAGTCCAGACTGGTTATCCATCTCATCCAGGCTTTTAGCCAGAGTCCTAAAAGAGGGCGTCCAATTATAACGATACAACTACAGTAAAAGGGGGGGAGTCGAGAAAACGTTCCTCTGGAAAACCTTTGAACTTTACGGTACTTCATGTCAGTATCTGTTCCAAGCTCGTTCGAAATTTTTCAAACACACTTGGCTTTGTGAGTTTGTGCCGCTATGCTTCTTTACTTAACTACAACATTTTCATTCAGCCAGGTACACCATCAAATTGATCAAACTGTCTAATGTATAATGATGAGAATTGAAGCTATTTTGTTTCAGATATATTAATATACTTAGGGAAATAATTGAAAATAATTTCCCTTTCCCCCTAGAATTTGGGCGTCCAAAGGCGTCCATTTTTCGTTCTAGGGGCGTCCCAAGACGCCCTTCTGGCTAAAAGCTTGATCACATCCTACCTTTTTCTTCGGGTATTGATTGAACACACGGAATATTGCCATTTCCGCTACGATAGTCTTTCCACTTCCTGTAGGGGCACCTAGGAGTACATTGTGATCTGTGTGGTATAATGTATGGAACACTTGGGTCTGCACGGGATTGAAATGGCTAAACTTAAACAGTCTTTCATACATAGGATTTCTCAGTGCAGTCACCGGCAGTGGTTGTAGGTCCAGGAGATCCGTGTGTGGGGGATGTTTCTCCGGTAGGATTAAATGCTTGAATGATATGGCGCATACACACTCGGCCCCAAGCCATCGGTCTGATATAGCGCGGACAAGATACTGGGTTGGAAGAGGCTCAAAGATTGGAATGGTAAAAACTAAAGTCTGTGGTTCATTGGCTCTCACCTACAAGAAATAATATTAAATCCAATAACTAAATAGCAGGAACTAAACTCTTGACTTGCTTTAAATCACGATTGTTATTAACAAATTAACTTACTTGTTTCTTGAGGAGAAGAAAGTACTCAGAGTGATAAATATGATCATTATCCGGATCTTCAACCCATATCCACCAAGGCTCCGAGGTTCCCCCATGTACCTTATCATTCCAATCAAATTCCGCAGTAATAGTAAGACGAACACGTAGGACGCTTCTTGTCACAGGCTGAATGTTTGAGACTATAGATAGACTGGGGAACTGGTTTACACATTGTTTCACTATCTTGCCCATGCGCACATGGTGAATGAGGTGACCTGGAGGAGAAAGGAAGACTTAAAGCCCATTTCCACTCAGGAAAATTTTCCACAGAAAGAAAACTTTGTAAAATGTGATTGGCCGGCACAAATTTTCCGTTGGACAAAAATTTTGCAGTTGAAAATTTTCAACTTTTAACAATGATATTTTCAGAAAATTTTCTGTCCGTGGAAATTTTTCTTGAGTGGAAATAGGCCTTGATGTCTGGTGGTTGTGGTGTTGAACTCTTTTTGCCGATCAAACAAACAAACAAACAAACAAACAAACAAACAAACAAACAAACAAACAAACAAACAAACAAACAAACAAACAAACAAACAAACAAACAAACAAACAAACAAACAAACAAACAAACAAACAAACAAACAAACAAACAAACAAACAAACAAACAAACAAACAAACAAACAAACAAACAAACAAACAAACAAACAAACACGAAAACCAATAGCATACCTATCTCATCAGCAGACATATCTCTCAATCGCTCAACATGAAAATTCTTTGCTTCCAACTTTTTCATAGTCTCATACGTCAAGATGGGAAACTGTCTGAGAGGATGTTCACTAGGCCAAAGTCGTTTATCAATACTTTTACTTATTGCGAGTAGTTTTGCAGACATTCCTGGCCAACCATACTTGAGCGCTAACTCAAATAACCCCCGAACAATTCTAGCTGAATTCTAAAGAAAATCATTGTCAAAATCAGGGACGTCACGAAGTCATTAGGGAGCGGTCATTATTTATGGCGGGGGGTGGCACCGAAGAGAAAAGGGTTGGGTAAACAAAATTTTGAGTGAGTAAAAGGTTGGGTAAATGAAAAACAAAACAACTCAAGGGTTGGGTAATCAAAAAACTTATTGTCATTTCCAAAGCATGACTCACTGAAATATTGGAGACTGAAAAGCAATGTCAACAGTGATATGTCAATACATATGTGAATCAATCAGAGTCACTATTTTGATCATTTCAGTCCGATTTGTTGCAGACAACATGAAACTTTAGAAAATTTCACAAGCCGTTATCAAACTCATGTCACAAAAATGGTAAGGACACGTGTGACAACTGAATGGTTTTCAATTTGTAAAGTTTTTGGCCAGGGGTGGGTATTTATTTTTTAATTGATATTTGAGGTTGGGTAATCAAATTTTTGACTTTTTAATGGTTGGGTCAGCAAAATTTTTGCCACAAAAAACATTTCTCTTCGGTGCCACCCCCTACCATAAATAATGACCGGTCCCTTAACATTAGGGAGGGGTGTAGTGACCTTTTGACCAAGTTTTGGCGGACCTTTTGAGCAACTCGGGTCAGGCGAAGTGGGGTGGGGGGAGTTTGGAAAAAAATTTTCGGGACATTGTATTCTCATTTTCTTTCCATTTAATGCACGCTTATCCCCCTTATGTGGTTAACTTTTCCTCAATTTCTAACTTAAATTCCGCCAAAGCAATTATTTTCTATTTTCGTTTAAAAATTGACTAACTATTTTGACCAAATATTTCCCATTTTGACGAACTGTTTGAACTTTAAAATTAGTGGGGGTGACACCCCCGGTAGCGACGTCCCTGGCCAAAGTTAACAAATCCGTCCAAGGTACTTTATCAGATGTCTTACCTGTGCAATATAAGAGAAATCGGAGGCGAGCGAGAAGCATTCAACATATCCTCTGGATATATACGTCTGTAATAAAATATTAGTCTTGCCATGGGAGTTCTCAGGACCACCTTTAGCTGGAAATTCACAGTTTTCATTCACATGTTGCTTTAGCTCAGAGAACTCTTCATCCCGAACCTAGAGAGATGTTTAGGTTTTAAAAAGTATTTTCAAGGAGCCAAATTCTTTCGATAAATAGTATAAATATACCCAGGGGCCGGTTGTTCAAAGGTGTGTTAGCGCTAACCTTGGGTTAAAATTTAACCTGCTGTTTTAGTTTATGTATTTCTGCACGTCTGTTTATTTCAAAACTTCAGAGAAGAAAATTCCTACTGATTCAGACAAGATCTCTGAAGAAATATTTCCAAATTTATAAACAAGCTGTCAGGAAGTTGCTTTGAATTTTAGGTTAACCTAGGGTTAAGCTAACCCAGCTTTGAACAACTGGCCCCGGGTGTCCCCCAAAAAATTGCACACTGTTTGATTCCATGTAACGTAAAAGCTATAAAAACTATCGCAATGAAATAAAGATCATTATTATATAGCTAGTGTGAACACCAAACGTGATTGGCTGATTTGTAGTCACGTAGCTTTAGATAAATGCAATGTATCCCGCCCGGGCAATAAGTGAAAAATTGTTGCCCGCCCCGACCGGCTACGTGCATAAATAAAAAAAATGGCGGCACAAATTTATAATATTTAAACTACTGTTATCGTGGCTTTGTGTTAAAATAAAGAATGTAAAAGAGACGAAAAATACATAACAGGCAACAGGATATGCTGCTGAAACCATTTAAGTAGGTTTTTAAAATTTTAAACTCGTTTACGCTATAGAGTTTTTGTCATGAAATACAAATATTGTTGTATGAATGTTGTTCAATGTTGATATTTGTTTCGTCGCTATATAACAAAACACTTAACGTCTTTTCCCTCGCGAAATAGTTAGTTTTGCTTTCCCTCGAATCTCAATGTTTCCCTCGACTTCGTCTCGGGAAACATTGAGATTCTCGGGAAAACAAAACTAACTATTTCCCTCGGGTGCAGACATTAAGTGTATATTGCATTAAGAAAGAACTTTTTAATATATAACACTTGAATTTACTACATGCAATATTGACTGCCCTAGCTGTTGATGTTTGAACGTTGAACAACTGTTTTTGAAAATGCCAAAAATTAGCAAAACACAACCTTATAATTACCAATGTAATTATACTTGTTAAATAATAAATCTTTTATTTTGGTTGTATCTCGCTCAATATTGTATGTAAATTCAAGTGTTATATATCAAAATCTCAATTAGTCCTTTCTGAATGCAATGATCTTTTTCTATTTCATTGCGATAGCTTTTATAGCTTTTACGTTACATGAAATCAGTGTCCAGTTTTTTGGGTCACCCGGTATAGTTGTTTTTGTTTTCGTGGAAACAACACGTAAGAAATACATAAAAGTGTTATTTGATTGATGTCTCCACACCGGGCAAGCGGGAAAATTGCTGGGAAACTGAGTATACCTTGATCTGCTCAAATTCTTGAGATAAAGAAATCATGTGCAGAATATCCTCATCAGTCATGTAGGACTTGAAGTGTTCGTTAATGGTCTAAGAAAAAGATGGAACGGTTTAGAACTGATAGAGATATCCAGTATAAGTTAGTTTAGGTTTCGTTCCTCTAGTAATACTATGGAATAAGTAACGATTCCTATCGAACAGTTCAGAAACTGATAGAGCTATCCAGTACAAATAAAGTTACTTTAGTATTTTTTTTACTTAGTAATATTGGAATAAGCGATGATCCTTACTAAACAATTTAGAACTGATAGAGCTAACCAATAAGTTTAATTTTCTTCCTTTAGTAGTACTGGAATATAAGCTATGGTTCCTACTGAACCACCAGGGAAAACAACTTAAAAAACTGATAAAGCAATACAGTACAAATAAAGCTAGTTCCACTTTAAGTCAGCTTTAAAATTAGTCAAAGACATATACAGTACCTCAATCGTGTCATATTTAATGTAGAAGTTGCTAGCAATGCGGCCAACATCAATGGGAGAAAGATACGTAGTTCGTTCATCAAATCTGATCATCTTTGCTTTATCTAAAGCTCTCGCTGAGCTTTCAATCAATTCACGACGGTGATTATCCAAATATGGATCTTCCTATGGTCATTTAAACAAAATTGCAGTAAGATGGCGGCTTTTGGCAAGAAGTGGGGTAGTGTTCTCCTTATAAAACTCGATCTTCTTAAAAAAAGTCAGAGCAAGCGCGTTTCCCCTCTGAACTTGTTATGTGAAAAGAGTGAGTCAACGCTCTATAACAAACGTACTTGCAGGGAGGTGAGTCCGGGATTGGACGCACCGAGGGTGGCTGGAAGTTTCCCGAACTTACCGAGCGAAGCGAGGTGAGTTCGGGAAACTTCCAGCCACCCGAGGTGCGTCCAATCCCGGACTCACCGAACCTGCAAGTACGTTTGGTTTTTATCCCATACACCGAGGCTGATCGAGCCATACACACATTTGTAGCTCTTCGCGATATATTCGTCGATGTTTTGTGAACATTTTCCCGGCCAAAAAAATCACTGGGCAAGAAAATACTTCTTTATCTACGTCTACATTACCTTTACTGCATTTTTTCTTTGGTTTTTCTTCAGTCTCAGTATGTTAGTCACCGAAAAAAGTTCTTTAAAGTTTAGGTTTATCGCCTAAATCTTGTCCGCCATATTTGTTATTGTTATTGCAACGTAAGCAGTTTAGCGGGTGAGCTCGGGCGAAAAGCAGGTGAGTTCGGCAAAAAGCAGGTGAGCTCGACGACAAGCTCACCTGCTCTAAACCAATCAGAAAGCCGCTTTTAACACAGGTATGGGATAATGCCGAAAGTCGTGGGTTTTCTCCGGGTGCTCTGGTTTCCTCCCACAGGGAAAGTTGACAGGGTGGGTTGGGATAAACACAGTTAAGAAAGTAATATCTCAATTGAATGTCTAAGCTAAGTAACATAATTAAGTGTAATACTTGATGTAATCGGTGACTGAAAAGCCCCAACGGGGAGTGAGCAGGGAGTGAGCTGAATAATATATGTATATGTAAATAAACTATAATTCAATATGAATCAAACCTACCTCTTTCGCGCCATACGGAATACCATAAACCATAGGGTTAGCCTGCATACGAATGTAAAGATATGTATAACTCAGCCATTCCACGGCTTCCTCTACATTTGTTATAGTACCAAGTGATATCTGAAATAAGATAATGAAACACGTCAATATGATATCTCTACCAATATATCTAAACTAATGTACCTAGTGGTCTAGCCCTGACCTTCCCCTATCTAACCTGCAAACCTTGTCAAAAAATACAACCTTAAAATAGTAAGGCGGAAGTGAAAAGGCCGATGAACTTGGCTATACCTAGAGGTCCAGATATAAGCGCCGTTTTTTGGCCCTGTGGTACTGCAAAGAGGAGACAAAAAACTCCTGTGGACCCGGTTTTCCCCTTTAGTTGACATTGGACGAAGAGATGACCCTTACCTGACCTCTACGAAGAACAGTTTGGTATACAGCCATTGAGTAGAAATAAAATTAGTCTAGGATATATATAAGTCTCCTTCTGAAGTAACACTGGATCAATAAGAGATGAAACAATGAAGGATGAGCCTTACTGGAACTCCAAGAAGAAGAGTTTAGAACTGATATAATATCCAGTACATAGAAATTAAGTCAGCCGAGAGCTTGGTTTCTATCTACTCACCTCAGCGTTCAAACTATCGGCAAGACTCTGCTGGAACTGACTTTCTATTGGTGATTGTCTCGTCATCAGTGTGAGGTAATGACTCAACTTCTCATGCTTTGTGAGGATATAACCGCTACCAAACTGATCAAACTGCGGTCGTCCAGCTCGGCCAAATATCTGTAAGACATCTAGAATCCCCAGGTCTACAAATGAGCCTTTCTTCGCATCGTATATCTCTGTACCCTAGGGAAGTGAAAAGATTATAAAATACTACTCATATTCAGGAAAAGTTAACACATCTTATGTTGAAGGATGTTAAAATGGATTTTTAGACTTAACCAGAAGCAATTGCAAAAACTGCAACCATGCAGGCTGCAACTATATAGCAAGGGTGGGTTGTAGCGAAGTAGTTGCAGTTCGCTACTGTAGCAAACTACAATTTTCAAGTAGCCAGTAGTTTTTGACTACTTTTTTAAAACAGTGAACTACATTTTGCCTAGAAGTAGCCAAGTAGTTGACTACTTTTCAAACAGCGAATCGCTATTCGCTACTTTTTAAAATTGTTAGCAACCTGATAGAATAGCGCCATGATATTGAAACACAGTTTGCTTAAAATCAATACTCAATAGTCAATTTGCACTCCTGGACACTGTAGTGCTTACAAAAATGTTGCTTTGTGTTTACTGTTGCGACTCGTAAGTCGATTTGTTATAGATTACATTACAGCCTGAGTTAGTAGATGCTCCAAATACAGTAAAACTAAAAAATATAGTGTAGCGAAATAGCGAAATAGTTCGCTACATTTTTTAAGCAGTAGCTGTAGTCAGTAGCGAACTACCTTTGTTCAAAAGTAGCAGTAGTTGTAGCTGACTACATATTTTTGAAGTAGCTGTAGTTAAGGCGAACTACAAAAATTTTGTAGTCAACCCACCCTTGCAGTATATAGGCGCTCTGGGCGGGATTGAACCTGCGGCCCTGCGAGGTTCGATTCCTACGAGAGGTCCTATAGTTGCATTTTTCACAACTGATCCTCGTTACGTCTAAATAAATGTATAAAATTCACACTCGGAATTTCCATCTACAAAATCCTTCCAGAATTAGTTCTATCGAGTGTAGATGGCCGAAATCCTGAAATTCTCCGAAATGACGCATCATCATTTATTATATAGTACCTTATTGAATTCTGATCGTTTAATTGGCTGTTTATGGTCACGTGATATTGAATAGAAAATTCCATTTCCCAAGAGTGCAATGGAATACGTTCCATTGCACTCTCTGCGAGTGCAATGGAATAAAACGTATAGTACAATTGCACTCTTTGTGTTTTCGATAAATCGCATCCCTCAAAATGCTTCTCATACGAATCTATTAGTCTATTTTGGTATTATATAAAACAAATGATGAATGTTTTTTCGTGCAATGGTCAGAATATTTTCATTCGGTCATAAACATTCATTATTTGTATACTATAGACGCACATGTAATGAAAGGATGCACTTAAAGGCACAGTTCAACCTTTTGATTGAAAAAAAAACTAACTAGGAAAATCAATTATGCATAATTCAAGATCAGTAAGCTCAATGTTTTCAACATTAAAAATGTTAGAAAATGTTAAAGATATTGAGATCACTGATCTTGGCATGCTTAATTGATTTTCCTAGTTAGTTTTTTTCAAAAATTAGGCTTTAAAACCCATCATTCAAAAAACACGTCAGGAAAACAACTTCACTGCATTCATGTCATTTCTTACAAAGATATAAAGTTGTATTAGAAGACTTAAAGCAACAGCTTTGTGAATCATCAAGTTGCAACGTGCCTTAATATTCCCTATTTTGTTAAGTAAGGGACATCTCTTATTGGACTCGTGTAACTGTACGAGGAATAATCACTTTTGCAAATAATATGATGCTTGTGATGTTACTCTGAGTGTATATCCCCACCGACTAGGCTTGAAAAATATGCCTGGCCACGGTGGGAATCGAACCTACGACCTTTGGAATACTAGCCCAATCGTGAAGTGAGCTCTCGAATTGAAAAAAGATAATGGCACTTGACAACACTGCATGTCGCATCAAAAAGCCTCCTAAGCTCTCGAGTTGAAAAAAAGATAATAGCGAGCTTGATGGATAACTTGCATGTTAGACTAAATTTTAATCTAAGTAATGAGAAGGGAATCAAACACAACAGTTAAAAAGAACATAATGAAATTAGTAAAATTGCAAAATTTGGTTACGAAATGTTGTAAAATACAGAAAATATAGCCTTGCGAAGTTTGCATATTTTCAGTATATTTGTATTACGTGCGGAAATTGTTACCATTTTCGGCTCAAAAATGGTAACAATTTCCGCACGTAATACAAACATACTGAAAATACGCAAACTTCGCAAGGCTATATTTTCTGTATTTTACAACATTTCGTAACCAAATTTTGCAATTTTACTGATTTTGATAAGTTCTTTACGGGAATTTACTTTTTTTGCCTAAATCAAAAATTAGTCTAACATGCAAGTTGTCTATACCGACGTCACCTGAAAACTGGTTATAACTAATTCTGGCGGTATTTTGCATCATAGCGCTTGTATGGCATAGATATCTTATATACACTAGATAGCGCATCTCTTTTGGTAAAATTGAAGCCAAGAATATTCCAGCGGTTACCCCCATTTGAATAGATGGCGGCCATGTTGGTCGTTCCCACTTGCTAATAAACGCTTAAAAACAACAATAACTTTCATCATTTGAATAGTTTAAAAACGTATTTGGAATAGGGTTAACTTAATGTTTAAGTTCCCTGTTTAAGAAATAGAAAACATACGAATCTTCTCATTTCATGGGAACAACCTGAGACTGCAATCACAGCTTCAATTTTTGAATTGCAAAATAATTATAGATGCACTATCTAGTGTATGTAAGATATCTATGGTTTAAGGAAGTAAAAAACTTAAAAAATCTTATGTTTTGTCATATGTGTTGAAGATACCACAAACTAACAAAAACAGACTTTTAATCCAGTTAATTATGATAGTAATTAAATGAAGGTATTATATATATTACGCATGTTATGATGTTAACAACTTTACACGCTCTTATATAGCATAATTTAATGTCTACAAATCTGCTGTTCTATTATGTTATATATAATTTAATGTCTACAAATCTGCTGTTCTATTATGTTATATATAATTTAATGTCTGCAAATGTACACAATTCTAGTTTTCGTCACTTTTTGTCATTGAAAGGATACATTATCGTTCAAACTATAGTCTTAAAACTAAAACTGTCTGCATATATCGTAAAGTATTGGTTCACAACTACATTACTCACATCTTCGCATTAATTAGTCAAATTATATACTGTCTTAAAAAACTCATTAATAATTGAGGAAAAGACAAAGGAAATCACTACTGTGTCGATGGTTTTATATGTGATAAAAAATCATGTTCATTTACATAAACTTTAGCTTTGTTTTTCTCGGCTTAGACAACGTTTAGTTTTAAAATTACTTCGCCAATGAACTCATCAGATAGGTCGTTTTTTTAAGCCATTTACAGTCCGTGTTTTATCACATGTAAAACACTCGAGCTGTGCTCTCGTGTTTTATATCTTATAAAGCACTCCTGCTTTTTAAATAGTACTTTTTTATTATATTAGTTTTATGCTGAGATGTAGCTATATAAACAGTTCTTCCAATCGTTCGAGCATCAAGGGTCATTTCTCATTGAAGAAACAAGAATGCTCAAAAAGTATCAGTGGAGTTTGGTCAAACTGGAGAAAATCTTCTCACATGAAACTGAAATAATTCAAACCACGAGCACGTGAAACGCAGATGCATTAACCGCCGATACACGTGTCCACAACAACATCGACTCCAGCCCCCTCACGATATTTGTATTCTATGCAGAGTTTGCTGTGAAACGCTTACGATAGAGTGCGAATGTTTTCTCCGTGCATACAAACGCCAGACCAATATAAAAGCCTTGAAGGGAAACGCAAACCACAAAAAGGTACACAAATGCTTCAAAGGTTGGGAAAAGAAGGCGAAGGAAACCAAAGACATGAGGAAAACTAACAAGCGTTGCAAGTTTTATGCAGGCCTTTAAGTTCTGTTTGCCCTTCTTCTTTAATATTTTGGTTTGATTTCCTGTTCGTGCCAAACTTACCGCCATTCTGATGAAAGATACGACGTTGAATACAACCAACAGCGCGACGGGCAACAGAAAGAAATACAGTTTGCCGCTTTTCGATCCCAACCAACATAAGACTCCGTAGTTGATGGTGAATATGGAGAGCTTGTCTAGGACAAAACAGATTGTGACAAACAAGGCTGGATATAACCAAACAAATGAAGAATATTTAGCGAAGGTTTTCAGACGTTTGTCCGATCTTGCTAAAACAAACGATTGTGACAAAACATACGAACAATGATAGGATACGATTGACATAGCATGAAAGGTTACCAACAACAAGTAGTGATTTAAAACAGCCAAAATGACACAAAATGTTGTGTCATGAAACAATCTTGCACCAGTTAACCAACTAAGATGTGAAAGCAACATTGAAAGAGCAAGACTCATTAAATTTAAGCCAGGAAGAGTCCTCAATTCTGGAAACAAACAATAGGTAATAAGAAGACTCAGGAGAAACATACTAGACACACTGAATCCAAGTATTTCAACAATTCCAAGGACAAAACTACTACGATGTGTTAGTATTGTCTTGATATTACTCTGCGAAGGAAGACAGACAGAAATTGACACCTTTGGCTTGTTAGTTCCATTCATGTGTATTTCATCAACAGGAAAAGTGAAAGAATATTGACTACTCTCATCTAAACTTTCAGTAATCTGATAATCTCCAAATTGATAAGTCATGTTCGGCGTGTTGTGGTAAAGTGATAAATCTGGCAGGATCACAAATTCGTTGGTAAAAAGTTTGACATAGGCACCATTGAGGCAATCTGATAGAACCAGTTTGGAACAGAGTACTATATGAGTTGTACCGTTAAGTATAGAATAATCATTCAGTGAATAATTTCGTCCTGTCTTTATCTCGTACAAAATACGTTCATGATCGTTCAGTCTGTATTCATTATTTTGAAGTTTCTTTCCTCGATAACAGGCGAGGCGTTTCGTAGTCACTTTGACTATGGTGAAACTGTTATTCTTCCACGAAATGGTGAAGGATTCGGAGAAATTGACGAATTTTAGAAATTTCTTGAACTCAATCGATGCGTGCACTTTGTTTTGGTTTTCCAACATGAGTTCTTGGAATGGTGTTAAAGTCAAACGGAATGAAGCCACGATATAAATATTAGCTGAACTTGAGTCGTCGTCTGCTGCTCCTTGGAAGTATCGATCAAGACTTGAAATTTGTTGTGAATCAAGTTGAAAACTTTCCCCAATAAGGCCAGAGCTTATTTCATGCCCAAGCTGTTTGGATACAAGAAATGTTATTAGGACTAAAAATTTGTTGGAGAAATTATCTTTAGCTTTTGTGATGATTGCTTCTTTGCATATTTTTAAATTCTCATCATACCATCTACCTTTGCACTTTACATGTTCCTGTATATGACGTGTATGTGTGACTGAATTATCCATGGTGAATACGAGGCTAAATGACTTTAAATCGGTTGGACCAGGAGGACCTCCTGGCTCTCGATGTTTATTGCACTGGAGACAGTGTCTATTCTTATACACCCAACCACGTCTTCTCACGATTTGAATAAAGCCTTCTACACATGATTTATTGTGAGGATGCGACGACTTGTCACATGTCTCTATATAGTTTCCATCAAAACAGTATCGCCTGGGTTGGTTACTTGGTATGTTGAGCCACACGTTTCGGTATTTTCTCCTAATAAACATCAATTTTTCAGCTAAATTAGTATAGTTTTCTGGTGGCATCTCGTTAGTCGTTGCTTTAATCTCGAATGGTACAAAGCTTTCATCACGGTTACAAATTGCACAAAATTTATTTTGGTATGTAAACCGTTTCACTTTCGACACCACAGGCAGGGTTCCAGCAATGGATCTGAAATTGTTCAATGGCATGCGCTTCTCACATTTTTGTCTGATTTCGTCAAACAACCAATCTGATGGACAACTTCCAACCATCCATAAGCTACCCTGAGAAAGTCTAATACATTGCCATTGACGTTTTATCCCCTCGTCCATAATCGATGTCTGATTGCCGCATTTCTTAACGAAGTCCGAACAACAATCTTTAAAAATTTGGTAGCATAGATCATCGTACTTGCAAGAAAACCCATTAGGAGAATCAAACTCCATATTTTTGCCAGAGCATGGTCTGTCGTTCCCCAGAGATCTTTCATGTCTTTTACCAGGCTTGATTGGTTCAGTCTCTCCTTGTATAGATAGCGTTGTATTGATGGCAGAAGCTTCTAATGTAATGATATACAAAATTTTGAATCCAAATACGATATTTGCAAACCGTTTATAAGACATTTTGTGAAAAGCGGCAACGATCTCTTGGGATAGATCAACTTTGTTTCTCTCTTTAGAAGAGATTGACTTCGCAGTTTTCCAGACCTCTGGACTGACCGTTTGCTTTTAATACATCTGCCGGTCTGAGGTTTAAATGGCATTTGGTAATTTAATCAAGATGCATATCTATAGATTTAAACAATATTTACAGCATGATATGAACGTTTCAAGTACTTATTTACGTTTGTCTGGATTCACCATGTGCTTTTGAATACATGCATCTGCCGGTCTGAGGTTTAAATGGCATTTTAAGTACGTCAATTAGATACATATCTACAGATGTAGGCAATATAGCATGATATGAACGTTTTAAGTATGCATATATTTACGTAATAAATTCAATAAATTGCTGGTTGATTACACTAATTATATATATATATATATATATATATATATATATATATATATATATATATATATATATATATATATATATATATATATATATATATATATATATATATATATATATATATTAGTTTAAGAATCGTTTCGACTAATTATTTAAAGAAAATATTAATGTAGAGAATTAAAATGTCAATAATTTAAGGAGTGTCTATTGTTTTTTGTTTAATTAAAATACTCTATAGCAACCGTAAGTTTTCCCACTTGAATTTTTTTCGGTCTATATCATTATATTGATTTATACCGAGATAATTAATTACAATTAGATGATATACCGAGAATATATAGGACATTTGTACAGTTCTATTTACGACATAGCAGAGCGCTTATCATGCAAGCATATGGTTTCAATAACATTCATGACGTGTGGCGATCTCTTCCACGCCTTTACACTGGAGGTCTTGCATAATCTCAAACTACACCCTGAGAAACATTGGGAGATGGGGCAGGGGGGAGAGTGCTGCACGGACATCGCAGGGCAGCGGGTTCGATTCCTACCAGTTACAATACAATAAAATTTATTAGGTTCCCCAAGAGGATCTTCATACCTAATTTACACGATTAAATATCTGAAATTATACAATATTATAAACTAGTTATTTATATACTATAAAATTAAGCAAGCCAACTTCTAAGAAGATGGCTTCTCAAACTACGTTTAAAACAGTTCAGGCTGGCTAAATCACGGAGCTCAGATGGCAATGAGTTCCATATCACCGCGCCTCTATAACAAAATGAATTCTGAGCCAGTGCAGTGCGGCACTTTGCTAGATTCAGGTCATTGGTGTTCCTTGTATTATAATTATGAATGTCTGATCTTTTTTGAAACATATTAATCAGGTAATTCGGTGCTTGATTATTCATGCACTTAAACATTTGAACACCGTCTCTAAGTCTAAAAGCCTCGGATACTGGAAGTAGTTTTAACTCTTTGAGGGTGGGTGTAATATGTTCATATTTCCTCT